TCATGCCAAGATCTGCTTACACGGACAGAAGCCTCTACGAGCTCTGATGTAGACAGTGAGTCCTACAAGGACCAAGAAGAAGGGCTCTTAGGAAGGATAGTGAGAGTTCTATCTTCAATATTACTTCATTTCTTGCACACTCCGTGTGAAAGCTTAGAAAGCTTGTCTACACTGTTCCCACTTGGAAAGGAAGACGACGTTTCACGCTTAACTCACCTGTTAGATGAAAATTCTGATGATTTCGATGATGATATATGGGGTATTGCTGGACTCATCATAGGTTTGGGGATGTCAGTTGGTGCAATATACAGAGCTGGGAAGAAAGACGCTGTTGTGAAGATTAAAAACCTTATCGTATCATGGATTCCATATGCAGATTCCCTTCAGCAGACTTCAGGTTCTACTAGTAATGTACCAGTGAGAGTATTTTCAGCTGGTTCCTGCCTTGCACTGCCACTGGTGATCACTTTCTGTCAAAAAATGGAACTGTTTGATGCACATGAGGTGGATAATCTGATAAATTGTTACAAGGACCTTATTTCGGAGTTGTTATTTGTTAAAACTTCCGGTGCTTTTCACAAGAGTTTGTTGATGGCTTCCTGTATTGGGGCTGGAGACTTCGTAGGTTCTGTTCTGAATGAAGGTATCCACCCTGTGGAGATTGAGCCTTTAAAAGGCTTGTTGGAACTGTTCAAGACATGTTACTCTGGACTTTACCCACCCGTTGTTCACTTTGGTGGCATGCTCGGAGCTGTTAACGTATTAGGAGCAGGTGCTGGTGATTTGGTGTTTTCCCATCCTCTACCCCGTGCTCCTTCAAGTTCTGAGGAAAACGTAAGTTCTCTTGTCTATCTTCTCAAGATCCTTACTCGTTTATTCGCTTAATACGAATGGGCTCCTAACATCCGTTTATATTGCTACAGAAAATCTCTTATGTATCAGGGCCCGTGCTTTCAAACCCATATTTAACTCAGCAGTTGACGCCATTTGTGCAAGAAATATTCCTTATCGCACAAAATACTAAGGATCGCCAGCAGCAACATTATGCTGCGTGGGCCATCTCATTTCTTAGGAATTACATGCGGTCCAAGGATGCGTCAATTCAAGACAATGAAATCCAATCTAGCGACTCTCACCGGAAATCCATTTCTCACAATGTTCCTGAGCATGCCATGGTCATGAAACTTGCTCAAGGCCTGACAAATCCAAGTTTGCCTTTGGTATGTCTGCTTGAAAGACTTCTGATAGTTCTAACCTTCTATATTCCTTGAATATGATTTAGTTCAGGATAGAGATCTCAATCTGTTCTCATACTTATTAATCTTTGTTGAAATTTAGGCGGGTAGCTCTCTGAATATTGGCGCTTTGGCAAGTGCTTTGCGGTGTTTGTCTCATGCTCCGAGATTGCCAAACTTGGATTGGGGAGCAACAATAAGGCGATTAATGAGGCAGGAGACTCAGCCTGATGTATCGCAATCAGGAGATCTTCCCAAGGAAATAAGTCTTAGGGAAGAGTGCTTGAAATTTTCATTAGCCCACGCAAGTGAATTTGATGAACTTCTAACTTTTCTGGACGAGTTGTCTGAACTATCTAGATTCAAGGCACTAGAGCATAGTCTCCAGTCATGCCTGCTCTGTCATCTGGGAGATTTAATGAGAATGTTCTCAGGTTCAAGAATGGATAAATTGTTTGACGATATCTCTTGCTTCGTAATCTCGCTATCTTCAGACCAGACATATAGCTGTGATCAGAAAAGCTCACTGAGGGTCTCTTGTTGGAAGGGTCTGAGTCAGTGTCTCGAAGGAACTTCATTTGAATCTTCAGAATACATCACAAAGATTGAAAAGTCCATAGAGCTGCTTTTTTCAGTCTTACCAGTGGCATCACAATCTCCGAAAGCAGATCAGATGGGTTCGGTGAAAGAGTGGTCAGAGGCAGTCAGATGTTTGCATCAGTCGCATCGAGATTGGTTGTACAAATTTCTACAGGTATATATATTTAATATATGCTTCAAGCATGGGCCTAATGTATCGTTTAACTGAGTTTTTTTTCCTTGCATGCAGGTTTCAAGTCTTGAACCTGACTTACATGATAATCTAAAGAAGATCCAAGCAAAAGCCAAGCTAGCAAGACTTGGCTCAATTCCATTTTCCGAGTTAGGAAAATTGAAGGCTATTTTATTAAACTGTGAACAGTCAGGTTAGTTGATATTCTCAATTGCTATATGCGAGCTAAGATACGATCAAAGATCATGATACAATCAAACTTCACATCTTTGTTTTAGATATCTGGGATGTGCACGTTGAGATAGTAGCTGCTCTGCATCACGCTGAAGGAGGAATCAAAAGACAGTGGCTCATTGATGCCGTTGAAATCAGCTGCGTTTCTAGCTATCCTTCCAATGTAAGACCACTTCAATGCATTAGATCTCCTCCATCGAAAGAGATTAGATTCTTCTTATTTTGTGTTGAAAATTGGTTTTGCTCCTTTCTACAGGCTATTCTCTTTGTTGGCCTCCTCTCTAGTATCTGCTGCGAATACATGCCGTTTCTCACTTTAGACCGATCCATAGTTTTGAGAGACATGTCTGTTACGGTAACTTCACTCCTGTCTGATCCCAACTGGGAAGTTGTCGCAGAGCCTTTCATCTTGTTTCTGTGGACATCACTGGAACGTGTTTACAGTTTTGCTACTGACTCAGACGCTAATGCAAAGCTAAGTTCACAGAAAATTGAGGCAAGTGAAAGAGATCACTCTCCAATGCTTGTGAAGGTGATGCATCACATTTGTGTAACCTTCAGAGACCATTTGCCTCTTGAGAAACAGCTTAGACTTGCTGCTATGGTCATTCCTTGATTCCTTTTTTTATTTATTATATATATTTAGGACTATCATTTCGAGGTTATGAGTTTCATGCGCCCTCTGTTGTTATTGTAAGATAAATATTATCTATAATCACAGTGAATATTTGTGGGTTCATAATAGATTTTTCATTTCGGTCTAAAGCTGCATAGTTTTAATTTGGGCAATGACTGCGACATAAAGCATGTTTGTGAACGACCAGCATTTGCAATGTTTGAGACATTAATTCTTTTTTGAGACCTTGTAAGAGCTATGGTAGAAATCAAATTTATAATTTGTTATTACAAGCAAAATATGATATAAAAATATTAAAGTTGTTCTTATCAACTGCAATCGCAAGCATAGCCAATAGGTAAAGAGAGAAATCGCATGACTGTGTTTGAGCACTATCCTCTTGGCATAAGATCTTCCACTGCTACGTGGCATAACCATAGCCTCTAGCATCTCCTTCACAATGTGAATCTACTCTGTCGGAAATCTAAAACCTACCAATCAGAACTCGCTGACGTGTCCATTAGCTAAGCTCCCTCAAGCTGAACACCTTCGGATCTCAATTATAAAATCGACAAGAACACCAACTACTTCACATCTCACTCATCTTTGCTTATATCTCTCTTCATTTGTGTTTCTCTTTGGAGTTAATATATAAAAGAATGGCCACTTCAGCCATCCAACACTCCTCTTTCGCTGGTCAAACGGCCCTGAAGCCCTCCAACGATCTCCTCCGCAAAGTAGGAGCTTCCAACGGTGGTGGCCGCGTCGTCATGCGTCGTACCGTCAAGTCTACTCCTCAGAGCATCTGGTTCTTACTCTAATCTTTTTGCTTCCTCAGGTTTTTATTTAACTAATCACCAAAAACAGTTTTTAACACAACAAACATATTGTGACAGGTACGGACCAGACCGTCCCAAGTACTTAGGACCATTCTCAGAGAACACACCATCCTACCTAACAGGAGAATACCCCGGAGACTACGGTTGGGACACAGCCGGTCTCTCAGCCGACCCAGAAACATTCGCAAAGAACCGTGAGCTGGAAGTAATCCACAGCAGATGGGCAATGCTGGGCGCTTTAGGCTGCACATTCCCAGAGATTCTCTCCAAAAACGGAGTCAAATTCGGAGAAGCCGTGTGGTTCAAGGCAGGTTCTCAGATCTTCTCTGAAGGAGGGCTTGATTACCTTGGAAACCCTAACTTGATCCACGCGCAAAGCATTTTAGCTATCTGGGCTTCTCAAGTTGTGCTTATGGGTTTGATTGAAGGATACAGAATCGGAGGTGGACCTCTTGGTGAAGGTCTTGACCCGCTTTACCCGGGTGGGGCGTTTGACCCGTTGAACTTAGCTGAGGATCCAGAGGCGTTTTCGGAGTTGAAAGTGAAGGAGCTAAAGAACGGTCGTCTTGCAATGTTCTCCATGTTTGGATTCTTTGTCCAAGCTATTGTTACTGGTAAGGGTCCAATAGAGAATCTGTTTGATCATGTTGCGGACCCTGTGGCTAACAATGCTTGGGCTTACGCCACCAACTTCGTTCCCGGAAAGTAGAATTTTAATCGTTTTATGTATTTTTCTTTCTTTAAACAGTAATGCATGGAAATTTTTTACTCTGTTGGTTTAATGTTCTTTGAAAGAAACTATTGTTCTATAAACTTGTGAACGGCTATCAAATACTAGCATCGTCTAACTTTCCAAATTCATCGAATTTCAATATCATTTTTCAACAATTGTTCTTTAAAAAATGTTAAAACTAGAGCATATACTCCGATCCTAGTCAAATAAAAATAGCACAAATCTACCAAACAAAACATTGTGTGCACTTCATCAATTGGTTCATTTCTCGTAGCGACTATGTATATACAAAGGAAGTCGAACTTGTTATATAAACTAGTAACTGAAAAACCAAAGATCTGCTGATACAAAGACCCAGGCCAAATGTAACAATACACTTGTTTCTTGTCTTCTCTTTCTCTCTTTTTTTTTCACATTCTACTATCCAAAAAAGGAGGGAAAACTTAGATATAATTTGCTACCAACAAATATTTAACGTCTCACGAATTGGCTATTAAGCCTAAAACGGAGAAAAGATCACTAATGACAGATTCAACAAATAAAGATTATGTTTCTCAGACAAAAGATTACCTCACTGACTTGAATCTCCTTTCCCAACTTGACCATTTTTCTCTTCTTCATCATCAGCTTCGGACACTGCAACCGCTTCTGAAGCTCCTTCGATGGACTCGCTGTTACTTGTATTGTTGCCATTATCGCTTTCTTTAGTCTCTTGCTTATCCAGCGTATTGCCGTCTCCAGAGACAATTTTGTTCTCTTGTTCTTCCGTAGACGAGGCTTTGACTTCATCTTTTGGTTTTGGGTCATTAGAGACAGAAGCAGTGCACTTGTTTTTGCTGCTAAGGTGGTCACTAGTAACAGAGAGATTGTTGTTGTTGTTGTTGCTACTTTTATTCTCTCTGTTGCTTTGACGTGTTACCCACTTGAGCTGCAACGTGTGTTCTTTCCAGCATTTTGCGTTAGCAAACGCTTTCTCGGCTGCGCTGCGTTTCAAAAATGTGACACAAGCTGCACGGTTTTCTTCAACTGTTTCATTCTGATCCTTGCCACTATCAGTCGATGCATTGTCTTCGAGTTCCACTTTTGAGACTTCGCCATAGGATGAAAAATGTTCCTTTAAGACAGCAACCTGGAAGTAAAAACAATAGTTCAAACCATTGGTACCTAATAATCAGATATAAACTAATTTCCAAAATGAGAAGTTTTGCACATTCATAAAGTAGAACAAAGAAAGGAGACATACATCCGCTAACCCGGTGGGCAAAGGAGGAACAACTTTGATGGTAGTCGTGCGGTTGTCCAACTTATACCTATTCACCATAGGAGTGTTCACTCTTGTGGTGAATGGATATGGTCTTTGCTTTAAGTGTTTCGGATCTGGGGATGGCGTTTCTGTGCTTAGTTTAGCAGTAGAAAGCGGCTTTTGGATAGGCACTTTCTTCTTATCTGTGGATGACTCTGTTTTTGGTGATGAGGTTGCGGCACCAGAGTTAGAGGCTGTGTCTACTTTAAGGCGCTTAGCATCTGGCTCATCAGCTTCATCGCCCTTGACAACCGTACCCTGAGAAGATTAAGAGCCAGATGATGTGAATAATGTCCACGTTAAGTAAGACACGATCAACAATTATGTTTCAATTGTATTAATTCATTAGCTGAAACATCCCCAAGCAAAGATAATAAATATATCAAGATACCGCACATCTCTTTGTGAACAAACTTAATTTTAGATTATGACGAGAACTCAGGTCTGCACTTGTTCAGTTTCCCAAAGACATCTCTAAGATTCCAATCATAAGACCTCTACTTACGCTTAACTTCCTAGTGACTGCTAAGTTACTAAAAAAAAAGGAAAGGCATTCAGTTACTTGTGCTTACTTGTTTTTCAAGACGCGCCAACTTTTTGCGGAACTCGTCACGCTTCTGCTCCAGTATTTCCTGCCTTTTCCGAAATGTCTCCTTCAACCGCTCAAGATCGTCTGCTTTTTTCTGCTGAAGCGGCGTAACCTTGGGACCACTTGTGAAACCCACAGGCTTAGGCTGTTCAGATGATGATGGAGCTCCACCGGCGTAGAAGGCAGGACCCTTTGCAGTGGAAGTTACATGGTTGCTTTTCGATGCTGCAGCAATAGGAAGTTGGTTCTGTCCTCCGGAAGCATTCATAACACGACCCTTCATAGAAGCACCATTGCCAGTGGAGAGGCCATTATCAGGTATACTATCTCTATTCGCCCACCAAAGCTTGATAAAGCGGTTACCCATCACAGCATCAGGTGCCCTGAGAGCAGATTCAGCCTCTTCGCGTTTTGAGAACTGAACAAAAGCTCGTTCACTATTTATTGGGATGTGAATGTCAATAACTTTCCCAAATTTCTGAAAATGGGCAAGAATGAGGTCCTTTCTGTTGATCTCGTGGGGAACACCATTGACAAATAGAGTACGCATTGCCTTTTGCATTGGTTTTCGTGTATTGTTCATCGCATCATTCAAAGTATTTGATGAACCAGCAACTTTTGTGACACTTTCACCAACGTGGTTTTGTTTCCCGTGGCGAGATGAATTGCTTGTAGCCTCCTTCAGTTGATCTTCAAAACCAGCTGACGGATTTAATCCTGCATCAGCTTTCTCTTTGAAATTTGCTTGACCATTATAACCACGCGTTCTTCCCCAAACCTGTTGACTTTTGCTTCTTGAGTCTTGAATACCACCCGCATTTTCAGGGCCATCTTGGTTATTGTCATCCAGTGGAGCTACACTCTCATCAATCCCATGAGAACTAAGTGCAGGCAATGCCCCTGACGTTTCACCAGCACTGTTATTCCACAAAGGTTGATCAGGATCGTAAAAATCAGTTCCAGCTGCACTAGGATATGCATCACCATAACCCATACCATCAACAGGAATTCCACTCTCATTAGTCTTCCCATGAGCTCCTTTAGCATTCATGAAATTAGCACACCCAAACTGTGCAGGCACTGGTTTAGAAGAAGCTGCCATATGAGGTGCACCAGGGCCAGAAACGGGAAGGTTGAACTGTGATAGACTCTGCACAAATGGGAAATGAAGGAAAATTACTCAGTTAAGTATACACAAATGAAATGGTAGTAACAAGAAAGTTATCATGCAATACAAAGTATGTGCTATATAACAACCAAGATAATATGCATCTAAAATATCAGAAAGAAGAATGGCTGTGGATGAGACCCATGCATTAAAGAGTTTAAAGTACTGCTGATGGGCATACTACTAGAATAAAAGAAACATAGATGCAAATACATTATAAATATCAGCAGAACCTAGTTGTTACTGTGCTTTCCCAGATAAATCCAATAACAAGAATTTTTTTTAATATAAGAAAACAAACCTGAACATCGTCAACAACAATACGATTAATCCCATGCTCCATCGGACACATATCTCCTCTGAGGCAAAAACCACGTTCCTCAAAGTCTCTGCATCTCTGCCTAGGAATACCCATATTAAGCGACGCATTCAACGGCGGCCTTAAAGAGCCTTGCATATGATGAAAAGCATCCAAACCACCATTCGGAACTCCATTAAGCATTCCAAAAGCAGGCCAAGGTGCACTCTGAGCAGCTGAAACACCACCTAATGCCCTCCCTCCAAACATACCAGGAACCATATGAGACGCCAAATCAACAGAATTAAACCTCGAATCCCGCTGCCCCCAAGAACCATAGCTCCCTCTCCCTCTCCCATGACCAGCATCCCTCGAAAACACCGGATTCGATCTTCCTCTCTGATTATCAAACCCTACACGTTGCGGCCGCTTTTCATGTTCACCAAAACTACTCCCATTTCCAAAATTTCTGTAGTTTTTCCTGTAAGGCGGCCTTGCCTGATCTGAAGAGCCTTGCTCCAAGGACAAAGACCGAGTCTCTTCTTTCCTACGGTGCTTATGGTTGCGATCGTCGTCCTCCTCCTCGCTGATCTCATGCTCCTCCTCAGCGTCACTCATACAATCAGATGAAGATAACACGCGTTCCTTTGGAGATGAAAGCTCCATTTCGATCCGGTTAAATAAACTCAGAGGCTCTCTCCTCTCTCATACAAAAAAACTCTGATACAGTTTTTTTGATATTCGTTAGATTATTGATCAAAAATATACAAAAATTGAAAACCCTAACTAACGATCTAATCCGTGTAATCAATGCTTAATAACAGCTACCTACGATTCAACAAACAATTAAGCTAACTACCAGTTAACAACGAGGAGTGATAACTTAGGGTTTAAACGAACCTAGAGAGCTACAGAGATTACGATTGAGAAAAAAATCTTCGAAAAGGGGGAAAACAAATCTTACAGGTTCTCTCTCGAGATTAGTTGCAAATTATTCAAAAACGATGGATGGACATATCGTGGAGGAGGGATCGTGAATGGAGACTAAATCCGCGTGCGGGGATTAGTTTCTGCAGAAGAATTAGAAGGAGAAACCTCAGAATCGCGTCTCATATAGCGACTGGTCTCGTCGTTAGGGTTTGAAGAGCTGCTGATAGAGAGAGAGAGAGAGGGGGCTTTTTTTTTTTGTTAATCAAAATAAAATTCGCAAAGTATGTATACAAGGCAAGGCGAGGAAGACAGGAGCTAGGCCGGAAATTTGGATTTGCTACCCACAAGAGTTCTTTAAATTTACAGGATCGTCCAATATTTCTATTTATTTATGTTCGTCTACCCAAGTATTTTTAAGATAACAATCAAAACCTTTCTTTTTGTAAATTACTAAAAAGATAGTACTAACAGTTATGTTTTTGTTTTCTTAACCCCCAAAATATTACATAAACTTTTGGAAGCTGTAAAAAGTCAATTAATGTAGAAAATGTAGAGAACCATCGCCTTTATATTAAAAGAAAATCAATTAAAAAGTTGTAACTTTAAGTTTGTAATAATTAAAAATAACTTCAATCTTATGTGGTATAGTTCTTTGTCTTCTATTTCAATTTAGAAGGATTCTAAAGTATGTAATATAATGTATAGTCTAAAAATTATACTTTCTAGCAATATAATATTTTATAGGCTATAGTTGGTCACATATATCAAATATTTATTGTTTCGCATACTTTCCTTAAATAAAACCTACGAAATTACCTAATGTGATTAAAATATATATATATGACAATTAATGATTTTAAACAATAAAGATTTGATAACAATATGTATATTTTTATCATTTTGTTTATTTATTTATTATTAAAATAAATTACAAAATTACATTAATCATATAATAAAATCTAGATTTTTTGTGTATGTTATATTTCGAATTTTTCAAAATGAGTATAAATTACTAAAATTGTTAAAAGTCTCACATAAACTTTTAGGATAAAGGTTTTAATTTTTTTCTATATTAAAATAGAATGATTATAAGACCATAGGAAGCAATAATTTTAGTTTATATATATTTTATATCGTTTAAATTAAATTATACATCGTATGAAAATACAGACTTATATTTTGATATTTGCAATGAACATATATTGAAAAGTTGATATTTTAATTTTGAAATATGTCATTGTTTTTTTAAAATGATTATAAATTATTGAAACTACTAAACATCTCACATTGAAAAAAATTTGTTGGTGTAAAGTTTTGTTACACAAATATGCAAATAATCATAAAATCATATGAGTAGAAGCCTCATTTATTAAATATCCATATTAAAAGTGTGCTATATTACTATGTTTATATCATTTAAATTTAATTATATATCATATACAATATAGAAAATTTATTATTTTGATTTATTAACCCTAATTGCGACTAAACAAGAGTGATAATTAAATTTATATGCATACGTCAATTTATTACATAATAGTAACTGATTTCTTAGTTATTTAATATATATATATTTCTTATTTTATTATTTTATAATATACAGAAAAATATAAAATATAAAATAAATATAAAATACTTATTGTGCATAAAGTGTAGATCTTAACCTAAGTATGTATCTCTTTAATTACTTTAAATCTTAAGTATTTTCTAAATCACAGGTCAAAACAAACAAATGAAATGAGAATAAATAAATATTTATATTGAGTAATAGCCAAAATAAAATAAAAAAAACACAACAAGAGAAAAAAATTGAAGGTAAATATGATTGACACGTGAACATAAACTTCTCATAACTATAGTTAATTTTTAAATTCTTAAATCATGATACAAAAATGAGTTAATTTTTAATTTGTTAATTTTTTAAAAAAATTAATTTTTAAATCATTATGATTATTTTAAATCATGACCATAATTAATTTCAAATTGTTTATTTGTATTTGAAAAACTTAAAATATTGTTTTTTAAAATAATTTGAAATTTAACTTAATTTTTTATAAAATTATTTAAAAAATATAATTTTTAAAAAATATAATTATCTAATATTATTAGACAAATAAATAAATTATATTAAATTAGTTTTGAAACTATTTTAAATGCAAATATTTTACCAACCTTAAGAAATTATTAGGGGAACTTGTTAATACTCTACCAATCAAGCCCAGTGACACTACGTTTATTTTCCATCACTCGAACACTGAAAAGTGAAAATATATATGAAATCAGACCACTAAATTCTAAGCTTTGATTTACCGTTCTAATTACAATTTTTCTGATCCTATGTATAGATAGTTATATAAAAATTCCAAAATTCTAAAATTTCAAATACATATAAAAACAATCATATGTAAATTTTAAATTTGTCAATAATAAAATTTTATATTTTAATTACATACTAGTGGTTACCGGCGCTACGCGCCGGATTTTCTAACTTTAAAATGGTTTTGCAGTTCATAAACATTTTTATCAAAATATTATTCTATAGTATCTAAGATAACTGAAATATTAATCAATGATATGAACATAATTGTTAATTAAATATAAAAAGAGTAACATCTATATTAAAATTAAACAATACTCTTTCCTAGATAGTTAATAAGTCATCATGTATATAATTATGTTTGTATCATCGCTAAATATTTAGTTATCTTCATATCTTTGATTAGGTCTCGACATTTTTAACCTAATCCGAAGCTCCAGCCTCAACACGAACCGAAAACCCCGAAATTACATCCAACAGTTACACCAAAAAAAATCGAACAAACCTTGATAGACAATTTCAAATTTTTATATTTTTGTTTTGAAAATAGACTCACATAGAAACTTGATAATTCTATTTTATCTAATTCTTAGCTGTTTAAAAACATAGAACAAACCATAGACATTCGTGTAATCTATTGTGAAGAAAAATAAACTAAATATAACAATGTTCTTATAAACTAATACTTTTTGATCTTTCGTTTGCTTTTTTTTTTTGCTAATTAACCTTTAGTTCGTTAATCTTAACTTAACAAATCTTATAGTAAATTTGTAATAACATCTATGTATTACATCATCCATTGAACATTTGTTAGAGACGTTTATGATAAAATCATTGTTATTGATTGTATTTCCATGTATATGACTTAGAAACTATATGAAATAAAAGTTTAGTTTATAAAACTTAATTTAAATATCTAGAGATGTGAGAGTTGTCATCCATCTTGAAGAATAGGTTGAAAATGAGAAATTTATTTTTGTTTAATTTATTTGACTAAAAATATTTATTTAAAATCACATCATTTGCAAAAATCAAGAAAAAATCAATTAAAATAAAATATTTTTATAATTGGACTAAAACACTTTCGACAAATGATAGAATGATAAATGTCATTTTTGTCATTGTAGAGAGGAAAAACTTTACTTTATTATATAAGAGATGTGTAAATATTTATTTTAGCAAAAAAATTGAAATATTTTATAATTAATAAATCATATATAACCATTACAATATAAATGTGTATATAACATTAATAAAAATAAACTAAATATAAGTACATTGAAAACAAATTCACATTAACTTATATATCATATATGTTCATAAATAAATATATATATTAAAATTATTTGTAATTTTTTTTTTAAAATAGAAAACTAAAACAATACTAATGAAATAAAAGTTTTATTTTTAATCAATGTTTAAATTTTCTTTAGCATTTATTGGTTCATTAAATAAACTAAAATATGTTAAATATATAAAAAAATCATTAAATGAAAATGACACATGACATTTTTTGCCTCTATGGAGAAAAAAATCTATTTTACTATATAAGAATGTATATATAACATTAATAAAGAATAAACTAAATATAAGTACAATGAAAACAAATTCACATTAACTTGATACCATATATTCATAAAAACCACATATATATTAAAATTATTTATAAATTTTCTTTAAAATAGAAAACTAAAACAATACAAATGAAAGAAACAATTTTATTTTTAATTAATGTTTTGAATTTTCATTAGTATTTATTGGTTCATTAAATAACAAAAATATGTTAAATATAATAAATTTAAAAATCATTAAATTGAAGTGACACATGTCATTTTTTCCCCCAAGGAGAGAAAAAACTCAACTTTATTAGTAAAGATATTCACCATGCCCAAGATGCATGTCTTATCCTAGTACTGTATTATTCTTTTGCCTCCATCTGGCTATATTTGAACCAAACTTGGGGTATAATCAAGAATAGCTGGCCGACGTATATCAGTTGCATCTACTCCCAAATCCAATTGTATGACTTTACTATCCTCCCCAACAATGTACATCATTTCTTTGGAGGCACACAATGTCTTATAACACACTACCACTTTCTTCTTTTCTTCCTTTAGCAAGAAACTTCCAAAGTCCGTAATCGCATAATCAAGACTCAAATCCATGCAAAGACCTTGGTCCAAGACACAGCCTTGGTTTCATCAATCTCATCTGTTACCCATATCTCAGTCTTTGATGTAGTTTTGCGTTGTAATGCCACGGAGAGTTTCTCATCTTTGAAGACACAAACATTTATGTTTTCATAATCTTGACACTGATAAGGAAGAAGCACACGACCTCCAATTTTCTCCGTTGAAAAATCAAATTTGTTCAAGAATATGCCAAGGTCCATTTTTGTTTCATCCATATCAAACCAGTAACTATTTCCCTTCAAAGATACAGCCTGAATACCGCGCTTTGACCAGCCTGGATTGTTGTCATCATCAAGAATCTTATATGAATCAGAGTTAAGATCGTAGATTGTCACATCATTCGTGCCACCATTAGGATCAAAGTTCAAGACTTTGTAACTCTTATTACATGACTTGCTGTCTTGGTTATAACCGAGAAAAAATGAGTTGCATCCCTTGGAACGTTTCTTGAACTGAATCCATCTTGAATGATTAGTAAGAGGGTTCCAAACTAGGACTCTAGATAACTTGTACGAGCTGCATAACAATAAGCCGTCACAGTGAAAGAGTTTGTATGCATTATTGTAATACGGATCGAGTAGATCACCCTCACGTTTTACAGATGGAGTTTCATGGAGATTGATGATGCTCATCGGAATAACTGTGAATGATTCGGTCAGCAGCAGAACCATACACTGCTTTGCGGATTTGTCACAGTGCTTTCTTATGACTCTTTTGTCGTTGAATAAACGGTTCCATTGTTTGCAAGTAGATCGTAGGTGCTTCACTGATGTGGCTGGGACACGACATAGTATCTCCTCTAGCAAATCTCCTGGAAGTTGAGACATCTTCATCGTCGTGATCTACAAGGAACGGCCGAACAGCTGCAGGTACAATTTAGGGTTTTAAAGGAGATTACTCTCCCTTTATATACTTTTTCGATTAATTTGGTTTATTTTGAACTAGATATGCATGGATTTTCTTTGATGTTTTAATATTTATGAAATATAAAAATAATAATTATTTTTATACTTTTGTGATTTTTTGCATATGTTGTGTGAGATTTATTTTAAAAACTAAAAATTAGTTTTTCCATAAAAGTTCTAATTAGTATTTATAATTTAATAAGCACAGATTTTATTTGATATTTTAATTTTACAAAGGATATAAAATAATAAATTATTTTATATCAATACTATTAAAACAGAAGCACTGTTTCTAATAAATTATTTTATATCAACATAATATTAATATAATATTTAAATATATTCAAAATAAGATATCAAAAAGATACTCTTAACTACTTTTTCAGATTACATTTTAACAATATCTTTAATATATTTTATTTAAAAAAAATATTTATTGTTTTAATATTATTTTAATAATAAAAGTAAATAATATTAAATTAAATTATAAATGAGTATCAACTCATTTTGATTTATAGAATAAGAACTAACAATCTATAACATTTATATATAAATATTTCATATTTGTAACTAAAAATTACAAAAAATAATAATTATAATATAAATTAATCTACTTTATACATTATAAACTAGATGAACTACTTTATACATTATAAACTAGATGAATTACATTTACAGAATAACAAAATACTACCATAAAATATTAAAAATGAAATAATTTTATATTTTAATATACATATCTAAATTAAAACATTAGGATATAGAAAATTAACATTTAATTATATGTAACTGATACACAAAATAATAATAAACATTTTTTCAAACCTCCACCAATACATAATAATATAATTATCTTAGATAAAGTCTTAAAATCGTTTATATATATATATATATATATATAATTTTTTATAAAATAAATATTAAGAATAGCTACTATTAATATTTAATTATATGATGAAACATGTTATTACTGATACTTTTATGATTATAATTTTACGGGTTATTCCAATAAACAGACAAAATATTTATCAAATATGAAATTAATTTAAAAAAAATATAAAACATAATATAAGTTATGTTTAGGAGTTCAAGTACCTATTGGGATACGGGTCGAATATTTTGAATCAAAGCTAATTTATATCATATCATAGGTATCATAATATGTAAGTAGACATGTTTGTAAGTATGGATCAGATTCAAATATAACAGGTCGGGTTTGGTTCTAATTTGTACACATCCTAAAACCGATAAAGTAACCATATATCATTCGGATTCGGGTTATGTTGGTTTGGCAATCTAAAATCTAAAATCAAAACAAAAGAAAGATACTTATTTTTATAGAATTGGATATTAAAGTACTTAGTTAAAATTTAGATGATTAATTTTAAATATCATTTTAAAATAAATATAAAACTGAATATTTAACTAGATATTTATGTTTCAAATATTTATATTTATGATTAATTTGGACATTCAGATCGATTCTGTTTTTTTTCCAGATTTTTTGGTTTTTGGGTTATTCGTTCGGGTCTGGCTAATAACACTTTGATTTGGATATATTTTGTACCACCATACAAAACTCATTCTGATATATTTTAGATTTTTGACCTGTTACGGATCCATTTTTTTTGTTTAGATTGAGTTTAAACGTCGAGTATAGATTTTATGCACATGTCTACTTTATATAAAACAAAAATACAGTCATATAAAATTTTTACCGAAAGATTATCGTGCATTTTTAAAATGACTATGTTTGATGAAATTAAAGAACTAAACGAGTTTATCCCACATTTCTACGTATATAGGAAATGCGATTATATAAAGTTTGCATCAAACATAAACCCGCACTTTGAAAACATAAACCCGCGCTTTGAAAACTTAAACCCGCGCTTTGGGTCAAAATGTAGTAAACATGTATCCATGAACAAAAACGAGTTATCATAACAGTGGTGATTATATTGATATGTTCTGAGGTTTTTAGACTTCTGATCTTTTCATTGTTGAACCCCCTTTAAATGAAATGAGAATCGATTTTTACTGAGGCAAAACTCTTGAATATGAAATCACTTCAGGGTGTGAAATTGTGTTTGATTCAGACGAATAATGCATAGAGGCCATAAGAAGGAAGATGCAGGAGTGCTACCAACAGATACCTGTAGATCATCCACAAAATCAGTCTAGTGAATGATGCATTTTGATATAACAGTACGTTTTCACTTTGTCTTCAATGTAAACCAACTCATCTAGTATGTAAATGTTTTTGAAGGCTTACCAAACAGGAGCCATGGGAATTGATAGGTCGAGAAATGGATATGGCCACCTAAATAAATTGAGGAATAGAAACGTATATCAAGAATGTAATCATGTATATATAAGATAACATGACAGGAAGAAAGAAACAAAAAAAAAAAAAGAGAAAGAAGAGGTTTTACCCTACGGAGATAAAAACATGGAGAAGCCATTGGAAAATAACAAAACTTCCTGTCCACAAGATGAAGTAAGCGAACCTGAACATGGGAAATCTCTGCAGAGTAACACCACAAAACATTCAACCTCAGGTTGATAGTTAACGCTTGATAACGTCTGAAATGCAAAAGAAGAAACAAAGAGTTTTTACCAGACGGTTAAAGGTTGTGTCACAGAGAAGCAAAACGAGGTTGCTCGTATGCAAATTCACAGTCATCTGAACACATAATTAGAAGTAGAAAAGTTAAGCTTGAGTTCCCAAAAGAGTCAAGATTGATTCAAATAACTTCATTACAAGTGCTATGCACAACAAGCTTTAACTATTACTAAATGTAATGAGAATTCTTGATGAAAATGGATCGAAACTTACGAAACTCATCTCATAGTCTTGTAAAGACAGAAAGGGGAAAATGACTGTCCAATATATACTGTCAGTAAGTACAGCTGCTCCGGCACTCGTCTGTTTTTCAACAAAGCAACATCAGTGATCATCATAAGATAAATCTAACACGAAGCTATCTAAATAACACAATGATTCATATACCTGAAATATAATATGGAAGAGCTTGACACAGCACCGTACTATCTTTGAATCAGAAGGTCTTATCTGCTCAATGAAAGGCATGTTCTCCCTATTCAAAAGAGGCAAAAGTAATAGAACCTCTGCATCATTTACTATTTGATCAATAGGTATTCTCCTGCTCAACTGCTTCTTATGTTGAAAACACCCATAAACTGAAAACAGTGATCCCATCTACAGAAAAACACATTCATCTGACTATAAAACATAATCACATTATTCACAACATTGAATAGAAGATCCAACACATACCCCAAAGTATATTGTTATCAACGTGAACGTCCACCTGTCAAAAAAACAACCAAATCAAAACATCTCATAAATCTCAATCTTACCAAAAACATTTTTAAATCTCAATTTCAATCTTTGGACCGTCCCTAAAATTTTGAGGAGCTATAGACGATATAGTAAAGGGCTATAAAAAATATATTTTTTTTGGACTGCAGGCCAATGTTTCATCCGGCTACGCAGGGCACGGCTATGTTTGCAGGATTTTACTTACTGAGTGTAATAGTAGTAAATGCGGAAACCACGATAAGCGAGCCTGACAATGTTGCTAGTTAGAAGAAAGCAGAAGGCTAGGATCCGGAAACCTAGTAACCAACCCGGGTGGATATGTTCCAGACTTGGTTTCCAAACATCTTCACTGTGTTCACTATAACTACCCTTAGGTGGCTGAGTTTCAACTGAACTTTCTTTTTCGTACTTCCAAATAACGAACAAAGCAACGATCATCGGAGTCAACACCCAAACCGCACAAAGCAACACTCTCCAGTTCAACCAGTATTCCAAGCTGGATGTATCCGGATCCATCCAACGTTCAGAATATCCGGATCCGGGAACACAAGTGGATCCAAATCAAAACGGATTCGAGTAGGTTTAAACTACCAGTTGTTTTTACCTATATAGAAAGAGTTAAAGATTTGATTCCAAAGAACACGAGACTTGTGATGAGATATGCTTGTTAATACTTACGTGATGTAAGGGAGAAATGTACAAGTTTTGTCTTCTACTTGTACAGTACTCGTGAATTGCGTGATGGAGAAGTCAAACTTTGAAGCTAAGGAATCAAGAAGGCGGTGAGCCACGAGAAGTCGGAGAACTGAACAGAGTGGACCAAGAGAGGGGCAGCTGGTGGGGACCTCCTCTTTGTTCATCACTTGATTTTGAAACGCGGTCGTTTCGTGTAGTGTGTACCTGAATCGTAAATTCAAATTGGAAACGTATACGCAGTTGTCAACAAGGCCCACATCTGTTGTAACTAGAGTAGAGTTTTTTTTTTTTCTCGTGACAAAAAAAAAAAAACTAGAGTAGAGTTTTGGTCTGTGTCGGCGAAAATTAATTTTTACTTTCGTATAAATTACTTAATAACAATTTTATACATATAACTAATATATGTTATTAAGATATTTTTAGGTTTCTATGAATCTATCCGGATCTGGAAATCTGACTCGAATTCCATCATAAAATTAATATCCAAACAGAATAATTTTTAAAATCTAAAATCTAAAAACCTCAATATCAGAAAAATTGATCTATATATGAATATATTTAATTGATTATGCAAACAAAACCTTTTTTTTGTTAAACGATTTGAATTATTGTGGTAATGGAACAATTTCATTCAAATATATGAAATTATTATGATTAACACGTAAAATAAATAACGTTGAATCATTATGGTAAATTAAATTAATGAAGTAGTTTGAAAAGTGAAAAAAAAAATATAAAAGATATCTCTATAATATTATTTGAGAAGTCAGTTTCCTATGTGGCGCTCTCACGTTCAATTTCACGATAGTTGATTACACTGATACCCTTAATGAATTAAAAATAGTTAATAAAAATATTATTCATTCTTTTATTTAGTTTCCTTTTCAAAAATTTCCAAAAATATATATAATAAAAAGGAAATTTTTTATAAAGTCACAAAAAAATTGAAAACGAAAAATATATGTATATATAATATGATATCATAAAAAAGGAAAGTTCACAAAATAGTAATAATACATTTAAAATATTTTTAATAACATAAAATATACTTTTAGAGTAATAAAAATAGTTTATAATTAGTATTATTGATTTTTTATTTATTTAGTTGACTAACATATCTTTCAATTACAGAAAATTATCTATAAATTATATTTTACGTAGATAATATTATTTTCAAATATAATCACAACTTTGTGCAGTGCTTATTTTTAAGAGATATTAAAAACTTAAAATAAATTTAACAATAAACATCGCTTGATCAAATAATTAACAATTAATTTAATGAGCTAGATATATGATATATTATCATTATTAAAAAAAAATTCTTAATATTAAATTTTATGTTTTTATGTTTGTGAAACTAAATATAACCATAATAAAAATACCAAAACAATCTGAATTCCCAATTTTAAGATTATTTTATATTCATTAAATCTAAAGCATAAAGTTATTTAGAATTTATAGTTTAATTATTGTAAATATTGATATGTGTTAATGAGCCTCTAAAAATGTATCAACTACTTATGCATGTAACCTTCTATTGATCATAGGATAACTCAAAACATATTAACAAATGAAAATAAGTATTAATCAACTCTTACAATTTTAGTAGTTTTATAAAATTTTATTATATGCATGAGACTGTAGAATTTTATCGTTATATTAATTTACGTATTTTGGAATCATACACTTTAGTTAATTTTTAATTCATTCTAAGTACAATATATCTTAAGTTATACATAATTTTCCGAAAATATATTTACATATCTAAAACAACACCCACTATATGCAAATAAGTAATTAATTAAAAATTATATATTACAGTTGGATTCAAAGAAATTCAATTTATCCAAATGATAACTAAATTAACCGTAAAAACAACAAAATCGAATAGATATAACATATATAAAATTATAGTATAATTAAATTAAAATAATATTATCAATATAAATGATGCATACAAATTATAAATTAATTTAAAATTAAAACTAAATAGTAATTAATTTTTATCATATATTTACTTTAAAAATATTTATACCCGTGCATGAGCACGGGAAAATCACCTAGTAATAAAACATTTGAGAATAAGTAGATTTTAGTTTATACTTTTATAATAAATGCTGTCAAATAATTTGAAAAGAATCAATTAATAAAGTAGTTAAAATATTCATTTTCAATATATATATATATATATTGAATGATATATGAAGTTGTAAATCAATGAGATTCTCTAACAATTCAGCGTATTGTTTGGAATAATTTTCTATAAAATATGTATATATTTTGCGAAAGATTAAGAATCCAAAAAATTGAGCAAAAAAACATTCATTAGACCACAATATATGTCACATGTCCACTTTTTCCATAAAAAATCACAAACTTGATTTGATATAGGATATTATTATGCATACTGATATAATAAATTTTAACTACATAATATTGTACCCTAATTAGAGACAGCCATGAGCAATCAATTCTAGCAAAGCAATCTCGTTCATCATAACTTCATCGCACCCATGCATCACCATCCAACTATCTGTCATTGATTCATCAAACTCGGCAGTTAAACCACTTCCCGACCCAGAGGTTGAACCAGAAGTAGATGTAATAGCTGATGAAGACGCCTTCTTTCCATTGTCTAAACCAAATTTCATCACACCATCAACGATATACTTACAAGCATTCTCATGATCATTGCTCTTATCGAAGTACGAGGCCTCCACAATCACAGCTTTACCTTTACCTCTCATATTTTTAGGACCAACATTTGTTTTTTCGTTTGTGTTGAAGGTTGCATTAGTCATTAAAGTATCATCGTTGTAGATAACAGATCTAATGTAGTTCTGAAGAGTGTTGCTACCTGGTGCAAGGAAAGTTTCGTCTTTGCCGTTACACTTCCTTAAGTGTTGTCGGCGTTTAGTCGCATTCCAATGGTTCTTAATTGTATTTTCAGTACGTCCAGGGAGTTTTTGAGCGATCTCAGCCCATTTGTTCCCAATCTCTTTGTGAGCTGCAATAAGTATCATATCCTCTTCCTCACTCCATCCATCTTTCTGCAATATTTTACTTATGGTTTTATAATTTAAAATTTTATCTATTCTGTTGCATTGTTATGAGAGAATCCAAGTGAAAATGACTTTAGTTTGAAAGCTTACCAGTTGAGAACTATTTGTCCACAACAAGAAGACAAAATATTTTAAATAAAATGTCATAGAGATATTATGTATATACAACAAACAAAAGTATTCATGCATGAATAAAAACCGTAAACATATTGACAAATATAAAAATGTTTGTTTAGTTTCTTTTAGGAGCTTCTTTCTACATCACATATGAATCTGAACATATGAATCTGAACGAATCAAGTATAATATTTTTTTCAAAAAGTATAATTTTATATGAATTTTTTAATATGTATAGGCATTATTAAATAATCAATTTTAAACACATTCAATATGATATTTTTCACTAACCAACTATATACGATAAATTTATGTTAATATATGTGCATATATGTGTATTACCACACCATGATGCATATACATAACAATATATCATTTTATGTTTAAATCATAAAATACCTTTTAAGGCAGGGCTTATTTGTGTACTAACCAAAAAAAAAGTAAAATTAGTTTTGTAGTAAGAGGGAGGAGAGATATAGGAAGAGAAACTTGGAGAGAGAGTGTACTTTTGGCTAGTTTACAAATTTGTGTTTTTTTGTAGTCATAGGGCCAAATTTCCCTTTAAGGCATGGTTATATATGTAATATATTGTCAATTTGAATCGCATAATGAACATATAAAGATGTATCATGGATAGCTAGTGATATAATGATATGTAAATGTATGCCTAAATGCACATTAGCAATCATATTTAAAATGGTACCACATGATTAATAGATAAATGTACATTTAAAAAAAAAACTAGAAGAAGGTAACCTTGATCCCAGGACGGAGATGATTATGCCACCTTTCTCTACATTGTTTTCCAACTCGTCCTTGAAACATTTTAGCAATCTGAGACCATTTTTTAGTTCCATGGCGCTCCACTAATTGTACCAATAACCTGAATTTGGGTAAAAACTTCAAAAATCTTTAGATTAAACCAATATATTATATTATAGTAATATTCATACTTTACAAACTAAAATATTTATGAGAATTCCAAAAAACAAAGGTTAAAATTTACCTATCTTCATCGGAAGTCCATTGCCCTTTGATGATGCTAGTTCCTTTCATGGGTTTGCATCCTCTCCTCATCTGGAATCTCTTATTCTTCTTGATCTGATCTGTTTTGATCACTATATGATTATTTTGACGTTGATTCATGACGACATCTCTGTTTGCACTCAAGATACCCATTGATTTTGACGCATTGTACAGATTTGAGTTACCCATGGCTAGATTGAATATTGGTTCATATCCAAAGATGATTCCTTGGGGTTGATCATTTCCCCATATAGTCTTTTCGCGTGGGGCATTAAAAATGTTTGATACATCTTTAGGAGGTGAAAATGTGTTATGTGCCTTTTCAAAGAGATCTGGGTTACTGGATATGCCACAAAGGTATGCTTCAAAAGCTTCAGTGCATGGGGAATGAGTGATGCCTCGAAAGATATCAAAGTGATATGGGGAGTATTTAAATTTGGAATATGATCAGAAGTTGTGTTTGATATCTTTGATGTTAGATTCTTTTGACAAATATCAAAATTAGGGTTTATGATGGATGTGAGATGTGACTTATATGTAAGAGATTGATGAAAATCTTTTATGGTGAGATTGTCATCGTGGAGAATGGCTGCGAGGAACGGGTAATGCATTTTGATCATTGGCTCGAACTCCATCTGATGACTAAGAATAAATTAAAGAAACAACCCAAACAGAAGAGTAAGTAACTAATTGCACTTGAACTTAAGAAGAAATGAGTTGGTAAAGACCATAATGATTTAGAAGAGAGCAGTAAATTGCACTGCATATAAAAGACACATCTAAAACTAATGGTTAAATGAAGTGAAATTAAAGTTTGAGAATGTTAACAAAGAAGAGGAATCACTGAGAGAAACAAAACTACGGTTAGCGTTTATAAATATAAGCAGTTGCGATGAGTGCTGAGTTGGTAAAATAGCTTTTAAGAACTTAGTATTAAAAATATATTTTGAATGAAA